TGTAATAAATGTCATTTGGAGGCCAAATTTGTTAGAGAGACAGAGAAAATAAATAAAATAAATAGAATACTTGTTTGCTAAATATTTTAGTTTAAACTGTATCCCTGTCTTGAGTTTAGATTTATGTTACAAAATGTTATGTCAACAGTTAAGAAATGTTTGATAAATCTGTTTTAAAATTTTAACGGCTTAAGTCTTGGGTTCATTACATGATAACAGTTTATATAAATAACAGATTTTCAAACCTGTTTACTAAAAATAGAAGCACATAAGTGTGTATATTATATTACTTTAAACAATAACTTCAAACATAGATTGCACTTCATTGTTAGATGAAAATAATCAGGAAGATTGGGCAGTCTGGAGATAGCGCTATCATTTTTTTTTTTTTTTTGCTGTTGCTCGAAATGGTCCAAAATAAAGCTACAATAGACTTGTTTAATGTAATGATAACAGTGCCTACATTATTTAGCATTAAACGAAAGCACCATTCTTTTTTTCTGTAATATATATGAATAAAACCAATTGTCTGTTTATGGGATCTATCCACAAAGGTCTGGGTTTCCAGTTACTGAAAATGAGTACTTGGAGCCAACCTGTATGAGAGCTATCTGCAAATTGTACGGTGTGGGGGGAAAAAGAACAAACTTCTAACTTAAAAGGCAGCAATATAAATCCAAATTAAGCAAAACCTTTATTGGAGCCAAACCATGATTCAACATATATGTGTGTGTTTGAAAGAGTTGACAGTAGACAGAGCCGTAGATAGTTGAAAACTGGTAGTAATATCCTTTGTTTCCTGTTCTCTCTAAGGGTCTGATCTTGTAGTTAATTCACTGTTTCTGTTTTAGTAATTGTTCTGCAATCAATTGAATCCTGTAGAGTTTCTTTTAGCAAGTATAACTTACACATTTTCAGAATAGGATATGCTGAAATAAACCTCTAACCATTAGATAAAATGGGATGCTGCTTAAACATAAATCAGATTTGCACAAATAAGAGGTGTGAACTGCAATCAGATGCTGAAAGTAACAAGATAAAAATGGGAGGTGGGTGTTCAAGATAGAAATACTTGTCTCTTTGTGCAATGTTTTGTTAGTGTCAAACTAAGATAAACCAGAAAAATAGGACAGACACACACTAGAAAATCCAAACAATTAGAAGCCCCCAAATAGAAAAGGATCTAATTCCTTTTCAAAATGATCATGCGAGAAAGAGTGCATGCACTGATTGCAGAACCTTGGAGTGTCCAATTTTAAAAATGAATCATACACGCTAATGAACCTGTATGAGATGAAGCTGGAAAGAAAAAAGTCAGGAAAGGAATGAACATGTAAATCTAATGGGAGAATGAATAGAAAGGCTAATACAAGCAGGTGAGATACAAATGGCATTCATGCAGTGGCATTATTTATGCTCTGCCTTCCAGAGTCATTTTGTGAACTCACAAGTACTCTAGAAACTTGCCTTAGGTCAGAACTTACACTAGATTATGCTAAAGGCAAAGGGATTGAGGAACAAAACTGAAGTAAGGAATATATATATATATATATATATATATATTAATTTTGCTGTAAGAAGTAAGACATCTGAAAGGAATAATCCATGTTCAAATTTGAGTAATGAATGCAAGTGCAAAGTCAAATCAAAAGAAATAGTTAAGATAGGCACAAAGGTGATCATGCTTTTACCTGTGCCACACAGAGTTGGACCACCAAAACTCAGAAACCAATGTGCATGCTGCATTTAGTAATTTAAATATTTTATAATTATATATTTTGCTAGCTGGGGTGGGTGGGAGATATGATAAAATGGGGAATTTACTTTTAGTGCTGCTTACTGTTAGTTAGGTGTTAACGGTAAAGAAACAAGCTTAGAAAAATGTTAAATCTATAATAAAAGTTTTAAGAAAGTTTAGGAAAGTTTTAAAAAATTAATAAGCAAAACAAAAGTGTAAAAACTAGTTTTTAAAAGTAAAAAAGTTTCAAAAAGTTAAAAAATACATTTAAAAACGCTCATTACCACTACACCTGGAACAAACTAGCTAAAAAATGATCCCACGCCAAGGTTCAAAATATGCCTTTTGAATTACCCCAGGATGTATTCTTTAATAAATAGTATGTGTTTGTGGGGAAGTTTCAATAACCAACCATCTAAACTACTCCAAATTGGAACATGGACACAGCGTAAAACTTCAAAGTTAGAAAGAAACTGAATGGGTGCGTCTCAAATGTGCCCCTTCAACATCCACATATACCTGGCAAAGGTACATACGAGGGTATTGCTGTACTCAGACCACATAGCTGAGCAACATATGAAGTATTATACAGTCGTAGCACACACAAAGTGAGTTTGCACAGTATATTTTGCAAACCTTGTATGTCAAAAAGGCAGAAAAAACGCTTATTACCACTACACTTGGTACAAGCTAGCAGAAAAATTATCCCACGCTAGGGTTCAAAATATGCCTTTTAAAATACCCTGGGATGTCTTCTTTAAGAAATGGTATGGCTTTATGGGGTATTTGGATTATATCGCCTGGTAAAATACTCTAAAATAGGACACGGGCACAGCGTAAAAATTGAAAGTTTGAAAAAAACTGGAATGGCTGTGTCCCAAATGTGCCCCTCCGATGTCCACATATACCTGGCAAAGGTACATACGGGGGTATTGCTGTACTCAGCCGACATAGCTGAGCAACATATGAAGTATTATACACTTGTAGCACACATAAGGTTTGCAAAATATACTGTGCAAACTCACTTTGTGTGTCAAAAGGGCAGAAAAAACGCTTATTACAACTACACCTGGTACAAGCTAGCGGAAAAATGATCCCACACTAAGGTTCAAAATATGCCTTTTAAAATACCCTGAGATGTCTTCTTTAAGAAATGGTATGGCTTTATGGGGTATTTGGATTATATCGCCTGGTAAAATACTCTAAAATAGGACACGGGCACAGTGTAAAAATTTAAAGTTTGAAAAAAACTGGAATGGCTGTGTCCCAAATGTGCCCCTCCGATGTCCACATATACCTGGCAAAGGTACATACGGGGGTATTGCTGTACTCAGCCGACATAGCTGAGCAACATATGAAGTATTATACACTTGTAGCACACATAAGGTTTGCAAAATATACTGTGCAAACTCACTTTGTGTGTCAAAAAAGCAGAAAAAACGCTTATTACCACTACACCTGGTACAAGCTAGCGGAAAAATGATCCCACACTAAGGTTCAAAATATACCTTTTGAAATACCCTGGGGTGTCTACTTTAAGAAATGGTAGGTCTTTGTGGGGTAGTTTGAATTTAAAACCTGCGAAGATGCTTGGAAATTGCACATAGGACCAGCGTCAAAATTCAAAGTTCGGTAAAAACTGATATGGCTTGGTCTCCTATATGGCACTGTAGCTTCATGTAATAGTGCCAAAGACATTCATTGGGGGTGTCTTTTTACTCAGAAGACTTAGCTGAGCATAATGTGGAGGGGTTGGAACTTAGTGGCACATATGAAATATACAAAATGCCCAGCAAAAATGCAATCTGTATGTAAATAATGCACAAAAATATTTTTTACCACATACTTTGGCATATATTGGTGAAAAAATGGGGGCCTGTTAAGGCACAATATGCACCTTATGAGATACTCTGGAGTGTCTACTTTTACAAATGGTAGGCCTTTGTGGGTTTTTTTTTTTTGAACAGTCAAACTATTATAATAACCCAAATGGAAGCAAAGGCTCATTGAATCCGTCTCTCAAAATTCTACTGTGAATACTGAAAAGGACAGGTCTCCTATATGGCACTGTAACTTCACGAAATAGTGCCAAAGACATACAATGGGGGTGTCCTTTTACTCAGAAGACTTAGCTGAGCATAATTTGGAGGGTTTGAACTTAGTGGTATTTTCTCTTACTGAGAGATAAACATATAAAACATAGAAGGGTATTTTCTGGCACGGTAAATGCACTATTGATGAGGTTGAATTACACTTAAATAATACCTGAAGTAAAATTGATAAAATTAATGTGATATTTAATTAAAATTTATGATAAAACTGTAAATAACAAATTAAGGGTGCTATTGATACGAAAATAAGTTATAAGGTTTTTTTTTTTTTTTTTCTCTGCTATAATATTGATCACTATGGAGAGATAAACATATGAGACACAGAAGGGTATTTTTGAAATTGTATGAAAAATGCACTATTGATGATGTTGAATTACATTTAAATTATACCTGAAGTAAAAATAGATAATAATTAATTCGATATTCAATTAAAATTAAGATAACACTGTAAATAACAAGGTTCCAAAGATAAGGAAATACGTTTTTTTTTTTTTTTTTTATGACTAAAGGCTTGCAATAATATATTGACACAGAAGGATAATTTCAGAAGGTTAATTTTAAAGGGCAGACTCTCTTACACAATAGAGAATTTACAAAGAGTACATAAAAATGAATTGCACTAAGGTTGATGTTGATTTGTATTTTAGAGATGGTGGTATAAATTAGTTTAAAATTAAAGGGAATATCACAAGATAGGTAAATGTCAATTTGTTATTGAATTAAAATTCAAAACACGACTGTAAAACAAAACGGTTAAATAAGAAAAGGATCACCCTAATATAGTTGAAAATATAAACGATGAATTGATTGAGTTATTAGGTATAGAACCACCGCTAATAAAGACCTAAAGCAATTTAGGCAAAAATGTATTACGTGGTTAATGAGATATAAAGAAGGATAATACAGCATAGAGGCACCTTCATTTCATTACTCCATTTAAGGTATGCCCCACTTTCTGTAGTAACACTACAGTTTTCTCTGTAACTAAAATAGTTACAAAGGTAAAAGAGGAAGTATTTCCCAAAAAGGTTATGTATGGTTCAGGACTGCAGACTATTCTTGGGTCTGTCAGCCTGATATGAATGTTTTAAATGTTTTTTGTGAAATTGTACTTAAAAAAGGGGGAGAGGGATTGTTGAACATTGGTTGGCTTAAATGTTCAGGATAATGTCGGTAAATGTTCAGGGGTTGAACACTGTTGTTAAAAGAAACAGGTTATATCATTCGTTAATACAAGAAAATATTCAAATCAGTTTTTTACAAGAAACACATTGGTTACAAAATAAGCCGCAAAATTGGGGAGGAGATAGATTCCCTCTAATCAAACATGCATCTTTAAATAAAAAGAAAAGAGGTGTTGCAATAGTGTTCTCTAGAGAGATTGAAGTAGATATTAAATATCAGTAATCTGATGAATTTGCCAGATATCTAATTTTGGTGTGCGAAATAGTAAAGACTCCTTACACTTTGGTAAATATATATTTACCAAACGTGGATCCAGTTGCAATGTTAACCAAGATAATGAATAGGGTACAGAACATAATGAAAGGCACATTGATTATAGCCGGGTATTTTAATTGCGTTATGGACCCAAAGTTAGATAAAATATCACAGGGCAACCCAAAGAGTGATAACAGAACTAAGAAACAATCTAAGAGATTGACGGCCCTCTCTAAAAGGTATGACCTATACGATGCATGGCGCGCCAGAAACCCTATGGAAAAGGATTAAACCCATATATCCAGCTCACATTTGAGAATAGATATGTGTTTGGTAAATGCCAAGACGATCCCGATTATTAGTAAAATTGTAATAAAAAAGAATTTTTGGTCCGATCATAATTTTATATTGATTGATATAGGGAAATCCCACAGATATCCAATGAACTCTTGGAGATTAAAAGATAAGTTAATTAAAAACGACATAAATAAAAAGTAGTTATCAAATCTTTTAAAATTGTTTTTTGAGGAAAATAAGCCTAATGAGACTTCACACACTATAAACTGGTGCGCTCACAAGGCGGTAGTGAAGGGTTATATAATCAAAATGGATCATATACAAAGGGAAAGAACAGGGAAAACATTAACAGATTTACACATGGCTTATTATAATCTTTCTAAATTGAATAAATTGCAACCAAGACAAGAAGGAAAAATAAAATTAAATAACTTACAAAATTTAATTAACGCAAAAATAGAAGAAAAAATAAAAATAAATATAAATAAATTGAAATTAAATACTTATTATACAGGAAATCGTGCAAATAAAAACTTAACTAGGAAACTGCAAAATCAGAGATCTAGAAACAGAGTCGAAAAATTTGAGGATGATCACATGATCTATACCTCTCCAGAACAAATTGGACAAAAATTTTATAAATTCTATCAGGAACTATATAATTTAAATTTAAAACAAAAAAATATAGAAATACAAAAGTATTTAACTAATACAAAAATTACAAAGATTTTAGAAGAAGATCTCTTAATATTAAATCAAGCAATTTCTTTAGAAGAAGTTGACAAGCAAATTAGAACTAAATAAAACTCCAGGACCTGATGGATATACAAATTTATATTATAAAATGATGAAATCCATACTGATCAAACCCCTTATAGATTTTTTTAATGAGTTTGCATTAAATAACAAAACTCCTAAAGAATTACTCCAATCGAATATTCTTCCCATTGTAAAACCAGGTAAAGACAGTAGATATTTAGAAAATTACACACCAATTTCACAAATCAATGTCGATGTTAAATTATATGCCTCCATTATTGCCAAAAGACTGAAAAATATAATCCAAAAATAATACATACAGACCAAACCGGTTTTGTACCGAGAAGGTCTACAACCAATAGTGCTAGGACAATTTTGGATATATTAGATCAATCAGGAAAGAGGCAGATTCCCCTGCTGACCTTGTCATTAGATGCAGAGAAGGCGTTTGACAGGGTCGGCTGGGGATATATAATGAGTCTTATGAGCATATGGATTTAGTGATATGATTTTTAATTGCATTATAGCACTCTATTCGGTTCAATCCGCTAGGACTGTTGGAACCAATATATGCGCAGAGTGGTTTGAATTAAAGAATGGTACAAGGCAGGGGTGCCCTTTGTCATCTCTGCTATATATATTATCATTGGAACCATTAGCAACTAATATAAGGGATAATTGTAATATTAAAGGCTTTCATACCGCCATAAGGGAAATCAAAAGTTCGCTATATGCGGACGATACTACAATTATAATGACTTCTCCTGAACAATCTCTACCAGAATTAATAAATATGCTTTGGTTTCAAATTATAAATTAAATACACTAAAATCCACGACAATGTATAAAAATATGGATAAATCAATAGTAGAAAAATTGAGAATGGAATATAACTTTATTTGGACTAAAAAAGTAATATATCATTTAGGAGTTTTAATTCCAGCTAGAGTGGAAAATACAATGGAATTGAATGTAATGGAATTATTAAAATATACTAATAAAACACTAAAATCATGGAGAAATGTGCAAACATGATGGTGGGGGGAAATAAATGTTGTAAACGCATATATTGTACCCAAATGGTCCTATTTATTTGCAATGATTCCTCTCAAAATTTCGAAGAGCTGGCTAGATTTGATTAAAGCCAGTTTTTCATCTTATATCTGGAAGAATAAAAAGCCCAGGATCAGATTAAAGACACGTTCTAAAAAGACAAAACAAGGGGGTTCCTAACGCAAAACTCATATATTATGCAAATGTAATTAAACATATATACAAATTACAAGAGCAACATGTGAATGTAGACCCTTGGTACATCATTGAAGCAGAAGCAACTAAAACAAGGAATTTGGAGTACTATCTATGGTTAAACTGTGATAAGAAACATATAGAGGTTTGGGAGGAGATAAAACAAAAGCTCTGGGAATTGCCAAATATATACCAAAAACCTGTAAATTAACTGTACTAGAACAAAATATGAAAGACTTATCATTAAAGAATTGGCCAAATAAAGATACAATTTTAATTTCACAAATAATGAAAGATGATAAGATCATTTTATTTCAAGAAATTGTGAAAAAGTTTCAAGTCCCAAATAGGGAAATTTTTAAATATTTAAGAATTGAAAATTTCCTAGATATCAATATTTTAAAATCTTCATTTCAGTCAGCAGGTCATATGGAAAATATATTTGGCAATATTTATGTTAATAAAGTAATTTCTAAAGCAAATTTCCTTCTAGACTTACTTAATGATAACCCAACGAAAATAATAAATTACTGGGAGCAAGAACTTGAATTAACAATAACACTGGAAGAATGGTGTTCCTGTTTGTCATATACTTCTAAAAATATACATTGCTTGAATTTGATAGAGTGCCATTTTAAAGTTATAAACAAATTGTAGCGGAGCTGCAATATTAAATCCCAAGATCTCCGCTGGTATAGAAAGTAATCCAAAGTAAAGCGCTGGAAATGAAGGCAATATCCCAAACCCCCAGTAACCGGACGAAACACAGTTCTGGGAGTCAACTGACAATTTTATTCACAGCTCCAGTATTTATGTGATTCCCCATGCAAGGGGTTTCCTTAGTCACTTTACAGGGGTATAACAGTAGAGGACTACATGGGGAACTGAATATACAGAGCCTTTCTCCCACCATGCACTGCTGTACATGAGGGATACTCCCACTAGAATATCCTGTTAAGTGGATTATCCCTCCATATAGCAGAACCGGGTTTTAACACAAAAATCCATAACTTTAATCTTATTCGTGTGATTCCCTTAAATGACCGTTCGGTAGATAGCTGGGGTCTGAGCGCACACTTCATGAAAGTATCGCTCAGATGCCAGCATAAATAACCGAACGCCGCACGAAACACACTTTATTTTACATTCTCATTAAAAGTACCGAATACACATTAGGCAACAAACTACCAAAGGACCGGTGCTCCCGAACGGCCTGGAAGTCCAGCGGTGTTCGTGCCGTTGAGTAGCCGATTTTAGTTCCATGCGCTCGACGACCAAACACCGATGGGCTAACAAAGGATCCAAGATGGTCGGTGGACCGCCGCGTGGTCGGTAGCCGAACAACGGCCACCCAGGAAAGCACTACCGATTGCTACAATGTTGCAATCAGTTAATGGGAGCCATACAACCCACTGTGTGTGGGCTCCCATTCGGTACTTTATTCGTTTCACGAACAGTGTCTAAAGTCACTGTTCGTGAAACTACCATATGAATCCTAGCGGCTTTCGGCCGTTAGCATACGAATACTCTTTATTGCAAACACACATGAATACATAGTTACATAGTTACATAGCTGAAAAGAGACTTGCGTCCATCAAGTTCAGCCTACCTCACATTTGTTTTTTGCTGTTGATCCAAAAGAAGGCAAAAAAACCCAGTTTGAAGCACAATTTTGCAACAAGCTGGGAAAAAAATTCCTTCTTGACCCCAGAATGGCAGTCAGATTTATCCTTGGATCAAGCAGTTATTACCCTACATTGAAAGATTATATCCTTGAATATTCTGTTCTTGCAAGTATGCATCTAGTAGCTGTTTGAACATCTGTATGGACTCTGATAAAACCACTTCTTCAGGCAGAGAATTCCACATCCTGATTGTTCTTACAGTAAAAAAACCTTTCCTTTTCCTTAGACAAAATCTTCTTTCTTCCAGTCTAAACGCATGGCCTCGTGTCCTATGTAAAGTCCGGTTTGTGAATAGATTTCCACACAGTGGTTTGTATTGGCCCTGAATATATTTGTATAATGTTATCATATCCCCTCTCAGGCGACGTTTTTCTAAACTAAATAGGTTTAAATTTGTTAACTTTTCTTCATAGCCGATATGTTCCATTCCTTTTATTAGTTTTGTAGCCCGCCTCTGCACTTTTTATAATGCCATAATATCCTTCTTTAGAACAGGTGCCCAAAATTGCACAGCATATTCAATATGGGATCTTACCAGTGATTTATAAAGAGGCAAAATTATATTCTTGTCCCGAGAATGAATGCCCTTTTTCATGCATGACAATACCTTACTGGCCTTGGCCACTGCTGATTGACATTGCACATTGTTGCATAGTTTGTTGTCGATAACAATTCCCAAGTCCTTTTCGTGTGTTGTTATCCCTAATTCGCTTCCATTAAGGGTATACGTTGCTTGTGTATTCTTTACGCCGAAGTGCATAACTTTGCATTTTTCAACATTAAATTTCATCTGCCATTTGAGTGCCCAGTCCCCCAGTCTGCAGCAAAGTAATATCTTGCTCACATTGTATTGTTTTACCAAGTTTGGTGTCATCTGCAAACACTGAAACATGACTTTCAATGCAGTCTTCAAGATCATTTATAAACATGTTAAATAAAAGGGGTCCCAGGACAGACCCCTGAGGGACACCACTTGCCACCTCTGTCCAGCTTGAAAATTTACCATTAATGACAAC